ACATTCCTTAAAATATGCCAGTGATCTATACAAGGCTCTTCTCAAGGGCTGGAACCATCCTAGGGGAAGAGAGTGTGTTCCCTCAGCCCAACAACCCATTGTGGCCAGCCAAAGGTATAACATTGATCATGCTGGCAGCTGCATCCAGGCCTGGAGAAGTGGGCACTGTGTTGTGTGTAGTTTTTTGTTTCCCATATTTTTCCAGGCCTTTGAGATCAAGTTGGCAATGGGGGCAGGAGAACCTCAAACAAATGGGAAAGAGTGAAACAAAAAGAAACCTAAGGTTGTGGTGCTGGTAGAAGAGTCAGTGGAACCAAAAGTTAAAGAGAGAGACCTTGGTGAATGGGAATCAAATTGTTTAATTTTAGGCTGGAGATTGTATTTGCATGACTTTCAGTCAATAATCAGTTTAATGGTACTTCTCCGGTTCCCTTTCACCCCATCCATACCCTTGAAATGTGTGACAATGGGTGCATATGGATTTTTCTTAGTCACCTTCCCCACCCTATAGAAAACAATGAAAAACAAATCCCAGAGTGGCAACCATCCTTGAATTTTGGGTATTAATCTTTGGTGGTACCATGCACTGTCTCACCAAGAGTGACAGATTTGTAACTACTAATCTGATGGTTGTCTACACTTAAAATGCTACAACAACACAGCTGCACTGCTGTAGTGCTTCAGTGTTGACATTTTCTATGCCAATGGAGGGAATTCTTCTGTTGACCTAGTGCTCTCTACACAGGGACTTATGCCTTGTTTACACTGCCACTTTACAGCGCTGCAACTTTCTCGCTCAGGGGTGTGAAAAAACACCGCCCTTAGCGCTGCAAGTTTCAGTGCTGTAAAGTGCCAGTGTACACAGTGTACTGCTGGTAGCTACTCCCCTCATGGAGGTGGGTTTTTTACAGCGCTTAGAGAGCTCTCTCCCACTGCTGGTGCTGCGACTACACAGCCATGTTAAATCGCTGCCACGGCAGCGCTTAGTGAAGACATGCCCTTAGCGACACTGCTCAGGGCATGGATTTTTCACACCCCTGAGAGTCATAATTATGCTGACCTAATTTTCTAGTATAGACCAGACCTCAGACTGTTTTCCATTCCCTTCAAATGTAGGCAAGACACTGAAATATGAATACCATTTTCACTAGCCCTATCTAGCCATGTTCTAAATGTGGGATGTATTTGGAAAGGAAACATTTTTGCCTGCTCAACTTCTTTCTGTAGCAACAAAAGGGCCCAGTTCAGAGGTGAGTCTAGACTGTTGCAAATTACACCTTCTTACATTCTCCTCCTGTTAGATCAGAGGTGGGCAAACTACAGCACGCAGGACCATCCTGCCTGGCCCCCGAGCTCCTGGCCTGGGAGGCTACCCTCGTCCCCATCCCTGCTGTTCCCCCTCCCTCGCTGCCTCAGCTCACTGGCTCCACTGCCGCTCTGAACTCCTGGGGCAGCACAGCTGCAGAGCCCGACCTGACCAGGTCTCTGTGCTGCGTGGTGGCGGCGTGGCCTGGCCCAAGCTGGGCGGCGCAGCTGTAGCACTGCCAGCCACCGGCGCTCCAGGCAGCGCGGTAAGGGGGCAGAGAGCAGGGGGGGTTGGATAGAGGGCAGGGGAGTTCGGGGTGGTGGTAGGGGTCAGGGGGAACAGGGGGTTATATGGGGGCAGAGGTCCCAGGGGGGCAGTCAGGAAGAAAGGAGGGGGCAGTTGGGGCAGGGGTTTCGGGGGCAGTCAGGGGACAGGGAGAAGGGGTGGTTGGATGGGGCAGGGGTCCTGGGGGGGCATCAGGAATGAGAGGGCTTGGATGGGGCGGCGGCGGGGGTCCAGGGGCGGTCAGGGGACAGGGATCGGGGGTGTGTGGAGGGAACAGGGGGGGTTGGATGGGGCAGGAGTCTCAGGGGGAGGGCCGATAGGAGGTGGAGGCCAGGCCACAACCCCCTCCCCTAACCAGCCCTCCATACAATTTACGAAACCTGATGCGGCCCTCAGGCCAACAAGTTTGCCCACCCCTGTGTTAGATGCTTTTCCTGTTATACCTCGCTCTTCTAGCCCCTCGGTATGTAGGTTACACTAACTTGGACTCATTGGGTCAAATCCAGAGGTTATATGTAATGGGGTATAAATTACACATGGTAAGTGGGTGTGAATCTCATGGAATTGTTGATGTAATTTATATGGTGAAGGGGCTGGAAGATGCTACAGCAATTTAGGCTTCCTTACATCCAACTCTGAATTTGTCCCAAAAACTTCTTGCAAATAGCTAAATATTGTAATACTGGCTCCTGTTTCATTCATGGAGAGAGGAAGATATGGTACCTCCAGGAGCTTGGAATGGTGTTATCTGTGTGTTGTACAAATGATCTTCAAATCTTCCAGCTGAGGATGCTCTCCTAGCTCCTTACAAATGGATCCAGCTACTAGCAACATTCACTAGTGTTCTTTGACACTGGCCTAAACGTGGTGGTCAGACAGTTTGAGCTGGGAAAAACTTTGTTTTATTATTAGCAACTTTAAATTTCACACCTGTTTAAACCTCAAAAGTAAAACAAAAAACAATTCCTTATTATATTAAGTATATTGGCAAACCTTTGTAACCTCTTGCACTTAAATATGTATGTAATACTGGCAGAGGAATTTTCAGAACCATAAATATACTTTAACGAATTTTCTCTTCAGTTAGGTGTGTGAATTTCAGTGCTAGTGAAAGGTGCTGTATTCCAGCTAGCTATCTTAGGGCTTTATACTGCTGCTCATCACCATAGTATCAGAATGCCTTCTGATAAAATTAGCAGCAATAACAAAATCCCTGCTGGACTTCACGGAGTCTCTGTCTCTTCTCCCTTTTTCCTTGCTTGTGTGAAGTCCTGTATATTCACCGAACAGGTGCAGTATGAGTAGTATCAATGCAAGCTTTCCCATGCTGTCTACTGTAAATTAATCATGACTTAGTGGGCCCATCTCCTTAGCCTCTCTGGAGATTGACTACAAGGTTGCAAATTCTGTGTGTTTGGGGGTAGAGGGTGGAAGTGATGGGGAACTGGGTTAAAACCACACCAGTTACTGAGCTGATGTGGGTTTGAATCAGTGACCTGTAGTTGAAAGGTTCTGAGTGTCACTGCTGATCTCCTGAGCCATCTAGTCCCCCTTACAGATGTATTATAAGTATAAGCACTGTTACTGATTCTGTTCAGGCTCTTGCACTATCATCACCACGATATCAGAGTGCCTTTTAGAACGGCAGAATTCTCTGGGGCTATAAACAAGTGCCTGCTCTATGCTTATACGTCGGACATTTTGCATACGTATGCTCGTCCATCCCTATGCACCATTGGGATCTTCATGTCCCAAATAGATTTTCTCACCTGTAGCAGAGAGCTGACTGACTTCTCTGGGGGTTGGAACGGTGAACAAATATAAAATGGTAAAACTTGGGTCAGAGTGGAAGACCAGTGTCCTCAAAACTACTGAGAAATCAGAAACATTCCTTTATTCTACACCGGAATGTGATAATGAGGGTAAGTCTTTATCAGACAGAACCCAATTCCAGTCCAGTCTTGTTTCTTTTCCCACCCCGCATCCATTAGCAGGAAACAAGGTGGATTTGATTTAAATCACTAGTCAGGAAGACTTGATTTCATCATGGTTTTCTACATAAAAGTGCATTCTTGTTGGTTGTTATAACCTTAATACATATTCTTCACAACTCTGAGATAGATGTAGGTTTCATTTTTAGAAGGTACACACTATACATTTTTAAACAGTGATCTATTTTGAAAACGGTTCAGATTAGTTTTACAGCTATATCAGAAAATGAATGATTGTTTGGTTATTTCATTTACCAAAGGTAATTGAAGCAGATATTTATGAAGTCACTGGGAGGTGAACTATCTCCAATTCAACAGGTTAATCATTAATATCTGGAGGATTTTCTTGCCATACTGTATTAGAAGGAGAACATCACCAGACAGACATTTAAATTGTTTTATTTAACTAAAACAATGTTAAGTATTCTGGATTTTTTTCTTCAACAGCAAACGTATAATATTTTAACAAAACAAGCAAATGTCCCTTCTCACATTCTCCAGACTTCTCCTTGTCCAGATCTATTCCGCCCCCAACAATCTTCTATTCATTGAACTTTTTGAAACTTTGCACTTTTAGAGAGAGGTAAGGAATTGACCCTGTGTACACAAATTTGCAGAGGGACAATAGGGTTGAGGTCTGTTATTTCTCACCTCTATATATTATTTATTTATTTAAAAAATATTGTTGCTGTTAACAAGCATGTTACCTCTGGAGACACAAGTCCACAGTTTGAGAAAAGTAAAACTAAGCATCTCTGATGGTATCTTCTAGACTGAGCACTGAGTCCCATTGGGTAGTTAGAAAGATAAATAATCTATACAGAAGCCTATGGAACCCCATACGGGTCTCTAATCCATGAACTACTGGAACTCATTTACAAAACTTTTTTTAAACATTACATGAATATATTGTCTCATACTATAGAATTAGAATTTATAATCCCTATTCCATGATAAGATGCATTATAGCTCAAAGATATCTTAATTAAACCTATCTTTAGATAGGTTTTTTCCTCAAAAAACATTTTATCAAAAAAATCCAATTTAAATGAAAAAAAAATCCGATTTAAAAAAAAAATCATTGATTTTTACCAACCCTGGCAGGTAATAAGCACTGCTATTGTGCCCATTTTGTGTTTCATGCCTGTGTGAGGTTTGAATAAAAGAGTTGGAAATCTGTCCCTAGTCCACAGTCTTTTAGTTGAATAAAAATTGGTCAAAAGCAGGCCACTTTGTCAGTTAAAGCAATGATTGATGCATTTCTTGAAGCTGCTTGTAAAATTCTCTGGAATCTGAGTGCTAACAATTTCAATAAGCCGAAACATAGCAACTTTCTCCCAGAACTTTTAGACGTCCCCCAAAGTCTCTCTTTCTCTGGTTTTCCCAGCTCACTTTTCCTTTCTGTCCTCTTTCTCCAGAGTCAATGCCTGTGTAGATGTAATCGTCTCCGGTGTGAAGCTGTTGCAGGCACTTGGTCTTGATCCTGGGGATGGGAAAGATCATGCTGTCTTGAATTCCAGAAAGGACCTGAAAGAAGCCTTCATCCATTTCATGCAGAAAGGGGCAGCTGCTGAGCGCTTCTTCAGTGATGCGGAGACCTTCGATTACATTGCACGAGCAGCGTCAGAGTACCCTGGGGCACAGGTGTGTTCTCTATTTTAGGGCTAGACTGAGAAGGCTTATCCTTTGTACATGGACAAACTGTATAGCAGCTTTCATGGCCCTTTTCATACTTCAAAATGATCGTGCAAGAGATTCCAGAAATAAAAATTTACACTGCTGCTTTAACTTTAGATTCTTAGCAGCTTCACATAAAGTGATCAAGTTTTTCTAAACACTCTGCTAATGCACAGATTCTTTCTTTGAAAATGTAATTCTTCTCTAACTCTGGCTATTGGTAGGATCCTAAATCGCAGAATGTTGAGTTGTCTCTTCCATCTGCACATCCCAGCCTGCCAAAATCTGCATAGCATAGCATATACTTTGGCTCTGATAGTTTAAATGGCATTCACAAGAATGCTGTTGAATATAATGTAGGCAACAAATGAAATGTCTGTTTTATGACAGAAGGCCAGGGCTGATACCACAAAGAAGGCTCTAACTTTTTTAAATGGTACAGGTGGTGAGAGGGTGGATCCAAGAATAAAGAACTGCAAACATTTCCATAAATTTCAGAAGCTCCATGATATAAGGCTTGGAAATGCACATCTCTCTGGCATTAGAGAGAGCAAAAGAGAATAGGCAGTCTTTCTAAAACACCCGTCTCCTAGTTGGTTCATCTGCTCCGATGTACATTGGGCCTTCTGGAGTTTTTTGCCATGTGTCCATTTGGCACTTAGTGTTAAGGTAGATAATTTCTGCAGATTATTTATGTAGAGTTTTCCAAATGCTCTTCCGAGCCAGGAAAAGCTCTGAATTCTGCAGCCTGCTAAACAACCAGTGGGGCCCCTCCATGACCGAGATACAAAAGGAGCGCTTAAAGATGATAACGTCATTGCGGAGAAACTAAACGAATTCTTTGCTTCAGTCTTCATGGCGGAGGATGTTAGGGAGATTCCCAAACCTTAGCCAGCTTTTGTAGGTGACAAATCTGAGGAACTATCACAGATTGAAGTGTCACTAGAGGAGGTTTTGGAATTAATTGATAAACTTAACATTAACAAGTCACCAGGACCAGATGGCATTCACCCAACAGTTCTGAAAGAACTCAAATGTGAAATTGCGGAACTATTAACTATGGTTTGCAACCTGTCCTTTAAATCAGCTTCTGTACCCGACGACTGGAAGATAGTTAATGTAACGCCAATATTTAAAAAGGGCTCTAGAGGTGATCCCGGTAATTACAGACTGGTAAGTCTAATGTCGGTACTGGGCAAATTAGTCGAAACAATAGTAAAGAATAAAATTGTCAGACACATAGAAGAACATAAATTGTTGGGCAAAAGTCAACATGGTTTCTGTAAAGGGAAATCGTGTCTTACTAATCTATTAGAGTTCTTTGAAGGGGTCAACAAACATGTGGACAAGGGAGATCCAGTGGACACAGTGTACTTAGATTTCCAGAAAGCCTTTGACAAGGTCCCTCACCAAAGGCTCTCACGTAAATTAAGTTGCCATGGGATAAAAGGGAAGGTCCTTTCATGGATTGAGAACTGTTTAAAAGACAGGGAACAAAGGGTAGGAATTAATGGTAAATTCTCAGAATGGAGAGGGTAACTAGTGGTGTTCCCCAAGGGTCAGTCCTAGGACCAGTCCTATTCAACTTGTTCATAAATGATCTGGAGAAAGGGGTAAAAAACGAGGTGGCAAAGTTTGCAGATGATACTAAACTGCTCAAGATAGTTAAGACCAAAGCAGACTGTGAAGAACTTCAAAAAGATCTCACAAAATTAAGTGATTGGGCAACAAAATGGCAAATGAAATTTAATGTGGATAAATGTAAAGTAATGCACATTGGAAAAAATAACCCCAACTATACATACAATATGATGGGGGCTAATTTAGCTACAACAAATCAGGAAAAAGATCTTGGAGTCATCGTGGATAGTTCTCTGAAGAGGTCCACGCAGTGTGCAGAGGCGGTCAAAAAAGCAAACAGGATGTTAGGAATCATTAAAAAGGGGATAGAGAATATATTATTGCCCTTATATAAATCGATGGTCTTCTCACATTTTGAATACTGCGTACAGATGTGGTCTCTTCATCTCAAAAAAGATATATTGGCACTAGAAAAGGTTCAGAGAAGGACAACTAAAATGATTAGGGGTTTGGAACGGGTCCCATATGAGGAGAGATTAAAGAGGCTAGGACTTTTCAGCTTGGAAAAGAGGAGACTAAGGGGGGATATGATAGAGGTATATAAAATCATGAGTGTTGTGGAGAAAGTGAATACGGAAAAGTTATTTACTTGTTCCCATAATACAAGAATGAGGGGTTACCAAATGAAATTAATAGGCAGCAGGTTTAAAACAAATAAAAGGAAGTTCTTCTTCACACAGCGCACAGTCAACTTGTGGAACTCCTTACCGAGGAGGTTGTGAAGGCTAGGACTATAACAGCGTTTAAAAGAGAACTAGGTAAATTCATGGA